GGGTGATGACGTAACAAATGTTCTTGTAATCCACGTTTCCGGCCACGTCCGGCGGGAAAGCGGCCCACATGTTCTTGATCTGGGGAGAAATTCCAAGATTTTGGGAAAATTTGGGAATTTTGGGAAAAAAAATTGGGAATTTTAGGGCAAAAATTGGGGATTTTAGGGCGAAAAATGGGGATTTTAGGCTGTTTTGGGTGAGGTTAGCGAGGATTATTGGGTTTTAAAGGGGAGTTCTTGATCTGGGGAGAAATTCCCAAATTTTGGGAAAATTCGGGAATTTTGGAAAAAAATTGGGAATTTTAGCAAAAAAAATGGGAATTTTAGGGCAAAAATTGGGGATTTTGGGGGATTTTTGGGGGTTAATGGGGGTAAAATGTTCCAGAGGAAGTTTTCATCCCACATGTTTTTGATCTGGGGAGAAATTCCAGGATTTTGGGAAAATTTGGGAAATAAAATGGGAATTTTGGGGAAAAAAATGGGGATTTTAGGGCAAAAATTGGGGATTTTGGGGGATTTTTGGGGGTTAATGGAGGTAAATGTTCTAAAGGGGGATTTGGGATCCCACATGTTCTTGATCTGGGGAGAAATTCCCGGATTTTGGGAAAATTCGGGAAAAAAATGGGAATTTGGGGAAAAAAATGGGAATTTTAGGACAAAAATTGGGGATTTTGGGGGATTTTTTGAGGTTTAATGGGGATTTAATGGGGGCAGAATGTTCCAGAGGGGGATTTGAGATCCCACATGTTCTTGATCTGGGGAGAAATTCCAGGATTTTGGGAAAATTTGGGAATTTTGGGAATTTTGGGAAAAAAATGGGAATTTTAGGACAAAAATTGGGGATTTTGGGGGATTTAATGGGGATTTAATGGGGTTGGAAGGTCCCAAAGTGGAATTTTGGGAGGGATTTAGGGATTTGGGATCCCACATGTTCTTGATCTGGGGAGAAATTCCAGGATTTCGGAAAATTTGGGAATTTTGGAAAAAAATTGGAGATTTTAGGAAAAAAATGGGGATTTTAGGGCGAAAAATGGGAATTTTGGGGTGTTTAATGGGGGTAAATGTTCCAGAAGGAGTTTTGGTCCCACATGTTCTTGATCTGGGGAGAAATTCCCAAATTTTGGGAAAATTTGGGAACTTTTGGGGAAAAAATGGGGATTTTAGGAAAAAAAATGGGGAATTTTGGGGAAAAATTGAGGATTTTGGGTGGGATTTTGGAGGTTTAATGAGGATTATTCGGTTTTTAAGGAGAGTTTTGGTCCCACATGTTCTTGATCTGGGGAGAAATTCCAGGATTTTGGGAAAATTCGGGAATTTTGGGAAAAAAATTGGGAATTTTGGGAAAAAAAAAGAAGATTTTAGGGCGAAAAATGGGGATTTTGGGGGATTTTTGGGGGTTAATGGAGGCGAAAGGCTCTAAAGGGGATTTGGGGTCCCACATGTTCTTGATCTGGGGGAAAATTCCCAAATTTTGGGAAAATT